GTCTTCTCTCTAATTTTATCGAAGTGAAGATATTTAAGTATCTATATTCGATATTTTTCCAATAAATAACATAATTAATATTTTACGTAGCTAGTATCTTCTTTCTATAATTTTATCGAAGTGAAGATATTTAAGTATCTATATTCGATATTTTTCCAATAAATAACATAATTAATATTTTACGTAGCTAGTATCTTCTTTCTATAATTTTATCGAAGTGAGAATACTACTAAGTGTACTATATTCGACATTTTTCGAATAACGTAATTAGTATCCGATGATAACGAATGAACGAATGAATCAGTAGAAAAAAAGGAATAGGAATACAAACGACGTGAAATATTGCTAAAAATTATTCATCTTCTCTCTTCTCCGTGATTTTTATAGAAATTTCAACAAAATCGAGAAATATTACGTTTTAAAACCCAATTTCCTCCCTTCCCCAATTGTCCATTTAAGCGGTTGATCCAATCCAATCGTCCAATCGTTTCAAGCTCGATGACCGACTCGATTCGACTCGATCCACCTCCCCTCTCCTCCGCCTCAGCAGCTGCCATCTCTCGTTAATTTATTCGCGATTTGAAAGACGCAGAAATTCATAATAAAGTCCACCCCTCGCCATCGATCGACCTTATACACGCACACACACACACACATATATATAAACGTCCACAATGGCGACGTCGGTTCCATTGTGCACCACACCCCCATCTCGCCCCCTTATGTCGCCCCTGGCCCGCTGTCGAGACGAGGGATCTGTCAAAATCAGCTGACTACCAATTCGTTCGCAATGCTCGTCTGCCATTGCCATCGCTTTACTGCCATCTGTCACCCACGCCAATTTAATGAATATGCATCGCGATCCGATCGATCCACCCCTTCGATTCCTTCGTCAAGAGGAGGGGGTTGAAAAACTCGCGGTATAGAAAATCGATTCTTTGTCTCTCTCTCCCTCTCTCTCTCCCCCTCCTTTTTTTCGATACACCGTACGAAGGGTGTGGTTTCAAGTAGGTGTATAAGTGGGTATATACCCCGATTCGAGGGTTGTGCGATGGTTATAGATACGCGGAGAGGAGGAGTTGGATTGGACGAGGGAAATATGAAAGAAATTTTCTATTTTATCGTATAGAGAGAGAGAGAAAGAGAGAGAGAGATTGTTAATATGTAACAGTCGATTTTTCGATTTTTGTCATTTCTATTTTCATTCGAATTAAGAAATTGGGTCTGGTTGCTCTGGTTTCTCAATTGTTTCAAATACGTGCAATGCCAATTGAGTAAAGTTTACGTTTAACGGATCAATTAATCACGATGAATTTAAATTGTCATTAAGAGGCTGTTTTATTATCGTTGCATAATTCGCGCCCTCTCTCTCTCTCTCTCTCTCTCTCTCTCTCTCTCTCTCTCTCTNNNGGAGGAAAAATCTTCGAGGTAGAGGGAAATTATTCGCGTGGATTGGACGTAAATTCGCAATTTGGTCTAATTTCGAAGAGACGAGCGAGACAATATGATAAATATCGCATTTCTCGCGATTAACGTTCCATATTTTCATTTCGCTTGCTGGTTAACATCTGTCGCGTGTTACGTAATCAAGATCCCTGGAAACGGAGCGTTGAAAGCAAATGTTTGATTTGCATCGAACGTGGACGGATTGATAAATAAGCTATACTTTTTTTTTTTAATCGTATTCGCTTTTGTATCGATTTCTTTCGATCTGTTCGATCGATCGTTTTCGGAATCGAAATTCTTTTCAATCGTTTAAAAAAATTTAGGAAAATATATATATATAAATAATTCTATATTATAAATAATTCTAGATCTCTAGTTTGCTGAAATTTAAAGATATTGAAATTATCCGTGTAAATAAATATTTCATTTTATTTCTTTATATATATATATATATATATATATATATATATATATATTATATATACGTTTTCAATTCTAGAAAATTTCGTTCGCGTTTTTATCGAACGAGAAAAAATATTTCGTTTCCATTTTATTTCGGGCGAAGCAAACGTATTATTTTATCCGTGATATTCGATTGTGGATTGTATTAAGTACGGTACACGGTGGATGAACTGTTTATTGTTATATACTGTCATCGTTGTTTTTCTGGCCATTGAATTTCCGGCCGAGTATCCATCATACCATTAGCCATAATTCACTTTATCCCTCTCACACCAGACGTATTTAGAAAGCGAGCGAGGGTCGCCGCTCTCGATATTTTTCGCATACTCTCTTAACATTCTTAATCGTTCGTTATTGTATCATGCCTCCCGTCCATTACATAAAAAGAAAAATTGATAAGAGTTGATATTTCGTTGGAGGGAAATTATCCGCGAAATTAAAATAATTTTAAATTTAATTTTTCTCTCTTTCTAAAAGCTAAATCCGAGAATAAATTGTATTCAATTTATTAAAGAATAGAACAGATATCGTATTCTTGGATCGTAAATTATAAAATCGGTTCAAATGAAAGATAAATTTTTATCAAATTCTTTAGTAATTTTCAATAGAAGATAACGTAAAGTAAAAGCTTTATAAATAATTTTAAAATATTCGGAATAATTTTCGTTAACTTCAAACTGTTTTAATTTTGAATTAGAAAAAGAAAATTCGATGAAAAATTCTCTAATAATTTTCAATAAAAAATACCGTAAAGTAAAAAATAATTTGATAATTTTAAAATGTTGTCCAAAAGCTTGAAACAATTATTAATCAACATTAGAATTCGCGAATAATGATATCGAATACGAGAGAAAAACAATATTTAAAGAAGAATAAATTTTTAAATTCGATTTGTCATCAAAAATCATCGAATTTCGAATTATCGTCCAACATTTGTTTTCCCTCTTCGCCACGGTTGCTCTATCCTCTTACGTTTTTCAACCAGTTGAGCATTGAAATCTTTAAAGTCTCTATCCCGAGCAGGGACCGACAGCCATAACTCCAGCCCTGCTCTTTTATGCGACGTACATTTCGGGAGGAAAGGGAATGGAAGGAAAAGAAGAACGAAACAAAAGAGACGCCTCCACGGGCAAACATTTGTTATTCAAATACCGAAACAAATAGCTACACGGCGAATGTCAAAAAGTTGCATACAACCTCGACGTTCGAAATCGAACGAAAAGAATCTCCTCTCCCTTCCCCATAATTTATATATTTCTTCTAAAGTTCTCTCTAAAGACGCATAACTATCCGTTAAAAAAATATTTTTCGAAATAAAAACTGATAAAAAAAAATTCGAAATCAATCAATTTGATTCCATCCAAAAAAACATCGATCGTAAATTTCCTCCCCCCTCCCCTATTATTTATATATTTCTCTCTGGACTCTAAAGACACGATCGATACATAACTATCCATTAAAAAAATATTTTTCGAAATAAAAACTGACGAAAAAGAAAAGAAACTCGAAATCGATCAATTTGATTCCATAAAAAAAAAAAAAAAAACGGCAAACCTCTTCTCTCCTCTCCCATAATTTATATATTTCTTCGGTTCTCTCTGGATTCTAAAGATATGATGCATAACTTTCCGTTAGAAAAAAT